CCATCAGCAGGGCTGGTTACTCTTATTAGCACATATGCTCTGACATTATCATCTTCAGTAGAATCCAAAGACAAATTCTATGACGATCTGGCTGCTACTGTCAAGAAAATCCCTGAGAAAGAACTACTGTTTATCCTTGGCGATTTTAATGCCAGAGTTGGAGCTGATTATAGTTCTTGGCCCACTTGTTTAGGTCAGTTTGGCTTTGGAAAGATGAATGAAAATGGCCAACGACTGCTGAAGTTTTGCTGCTACTATGATCTTTGCGTTAGCAATACATACTTTAAAACAAAGCCTCAACACAGAGTCTCTTGGAGACATCCAAGATCGAAGCATTGGCACCAGCTCGACTTGATTCTTACCAGGCGCTCCAACCTCCCCAATATTACAATCACACGCAGCTATCAGGGTGCTGATTGCGATACAGACCACTCCTTGGTGTGCAGCAGAATAAAACTGCAAACGAAGAGATTGCATCACTCGAAGAAGGAAGGAAGACCCTGCATTGACATCAACAAGACCCTCAATCAGGGCGAAGTGGAGGAATTTGCACAAGCACTCAAGGAAACTCTCCCAGGCCCAGCTGAAGTAAATGCATCTGAACGATGGGAATATTTCAAGAATGCTGTTTATAACACCGCCTTGTCAGTATTTGGTAAGGAGATCAGAAAGACATTAGATTGGTTTGAAGCCATTCGGAGGAGTTGACGCCAGCCATCGAGGAAAAAAGGAGAGCTCTAATTGCATATAAAGCGTGTTCCAGTGAGCGCAACCTACAGGTTCTGCAAGCTGCTCGTAGCAAAGTCCAACAGACCGCCAGGAGATGTGCTAACGATTATTGGCTGCAGCTTTGCTCTCGGATCCAGATAGCAGCTGACACAGGCAACATCAAGGGAATGTAAGATGGCATCAAGCAGGCCTTAGGTCCAACACAGAAGAAATCTGCCCCTCTGAAGTCTGCTACAGGTGAGATTATCCAGGACCGAGCACAGCATATGGCACTCTGGGTGCAGCACTACTCTGAGTTATATTCCAGAGAAAATGTGGTAACTGAAGAAGCGTTACATAACATTGAGTGCCTGCCTGTCTTGGAGGAGCTTGACAGTGAACCAACTTTAGAAGAACTAAATGTGGCCCTGGACTCCCTTGCCTCTGGCAAGGCACCCGGGAAAGATAACATTCCTGCCGAAGTTCTGAAGTGCTGCAAAGAGAACATCTCCACTGAACTGCATGAAATCTTCTGTCTTTGTTGGAGGGAAGGTGGAGTACCACAGGACATGAAGGATGCAAATATTGTCACATTGTACAAGAACAAAGGTGATGGGTGACTGTAACAACTACCATGGCATCTCTCTTCTTAGTGTAGAAGGGAAGCTGCTTGCCTGTGTCGTACTGAAGAGGCTCCAGGTACTTACAGAGAGAGCCTATCCAGAATCACAATGTGGATTTCAAGCCAACAGGTCCACTACTGACATGGTATTTTCCCTTAGGCAGTTGCAGGAGAAATGCAGTCTTATTTTCTTGCTTTATTTGCCTGTTTTATCTTTTCCCCCATTCTTCCTGCTGTCTCCTCTTTCCTGGACTCTTTGATCTTCATTCATTATCAGTTGTAGGATATTTTCTATTTTCCCATTTATGCCTTGTTTTATTCTTTGTTTTCTGAATTACCTGATACAAATCTCATCATTACACAGTAACCAAGTAACATTCAGTCTGCGGTCAGTTGTAATTTTCCCTGATATGTTGATCTCCAGATGGGTTGGGACTACATTTCCAAGAATTCCAGCTGACTCAAAGTAGCCCAATGTATATTAAAGGCACCAGGTCAGGGAAAAGAAAGTAATATTTTTTTTTAATTGAAAAAGTTTTCAATTACAAATTTTTCCCTCTTTCCCCCCCTAACGCCCCCCTCACCACCCCCTCCCCCCTCCCTCCTATGACTTCTTCAAAATAAAAACCTAATACATAACAGATTATATAATATTTTACCATCCCCTTACTCCCTCCTCCAAATTCTGACCCTTACTCCTAGTGATATTATTAATATTATTACTTCCCCCTCTTACCATACACTTCAAAATAACATTCCATTATAACACTATGTAATAACTTCTGATTTAACACAGTAATATTATTATAACTCCCAATTTATCGATAATCTGCCATTTTTTTCTCCTCCCCCATACTTATGTCTGTATATTAATATAACATTTCAAAATAACCTTCCACTTTAAAACTATATAATAAATCCTACTTTAACATTTAATCTTTTGTGTATATTAATATGACATTTCAAAGCAGCCTTCCCCATATATTCTAGTTTTACATTTGTTCTACGCTATCCATTTCCTCCACTCCCATAAATATATCTCTTAAACATCCCTTTTCTTAATCTGTATAATCAAATCACTAACCTATCTCCACCCACTTTCCTACAAAATTACCATACACAACAATTCTTAATATCTTTGTTCTTCTGCCCATCCTACTAAAAAATATTCCCTTATATAAACAAAATCAATAACTTTAAACTTATAATCCATACAATATCTTCTTTAATATCTTTCCACTGGATTGCTGACTCCATCATCCGAATTAGGGTAACATAACATCCCAATTGCAACAGAATATTCAAAATCCTCAGTTATCATCTGCCCCCATCAATAATGAGTATCTTCGTATATATATAAGAAAAAAGAAAACAACCACCCGAGTGACTTTATAATTGTAATCCATGTAATATCTGTAATAGTGGCTTTCTTCAGGATTATTAATTCCCATTCTCATAATGGGGTAACAGCCAGATCTTCTGCATGCCCCAGCATAACTCTCTTGCCTTATAGCTCAGCATAAGTATAATACGTTGACCAATGAAAAAAAAAAGAAAACCCAAAAATAGATAATTCCAATCCAACAATTTAAGGCCCTTTTCACATCCCAAAATTATGGCATTGCAGAGGTCTGTCACTCTCCTCAGGATGATATTAACCAATACTTCATCTCAACCATCTTTTCATATATTCAGTCATATATTTTTTTTAAAAAACATAACTGGCTTTGCTGTTGCTTAATTTAGAAATTTTTATTTTTGTGAGACCTATTTCTTTTTTTCCTTTCTTTTTGTGGGTTTGATCTCCATCCTAATTTGCTTTCTGCAAGTTGTGTGTAAACTGATCGGTTTTCATTCTGCTTTATAACTTGATCTTGTTGGTTTTGCTTTTGTGACTCATATTTCTTTTCTGTAAGTTGTGTATCAATTAATCGATTTCCATGGTTGTCTGTAGCTTGGTGAGTCGTCACGTTAGAATCCGATACCACTTCTCTCTTATTTATAAATAATCCAGCTGAAGTGTCTGAAGAATCCAAAGGCAATTCATCTACCAAGGCCTCTGTAACTCGATATGTTTCCTTTATTTCTAACTCCTTCTGCTTGTCTTGTGTTGTGCATAAAGATGTTAAGTTCATTTTTAAAAATTTTTGATAAAATTCTTCCGCTTTTTCAACAGTATTTAATTGATATCTTTCTCCTTGATATCTCAATATTATACCAACTGGAGCATTCCATCTGAATAAAATATTTCTTTTTTTAAGCTCAGCCACCAGAAAACCAAATTTCTTTCTTTCCAATAACATCTTAGGCGGGAGTTCTTTATAAATCCAAATCTTTCTTCCAAACAATTGCAAAGTAGACTTAAAAGATTTCTGCACAATATTATTCCTTATTTCTTTATCTGTAAAATAAATCACCACATCTCTAGGCAATTGCCTCTGCTTTGCAATCCAGGAGTTTATTCTATAAACTCTATCGATCCTACAAAATACCTCCTCAGGATGAACCTTTAAAATCCCAGCCAGAACTTCAGAAGATATTTTTCTTAGGTCATCTCTGTTATTTTCCTGTAATCCTCTCAGTCTGATCGCATATTCAGTAAAATTATATTGCATCATTAAAACTTCCTTTTCAATACGTTGTTGTATATTTTCTACATTATAATCAGCTTCCATTTTAGGTTTTTCTTCTAAACTATTGTCTTGGATGTTTATCAAATCATTTTCAATTTTTTCTATTTTATTTTCCAAATTATCCTCAATTTCCTCCATTTTAGACTCTAATAGATTAATATTTGTATCCAACCTGATCAAAAATTCTGAGAAACCATTAGCCATTTTTATAATCTTTTCTTTAGTTTCCTGCTTAAATTTCTCAAAGTTCTGATTCATAATCTCATCCTTTCTTACAATCTCCTCCAGAAGAAATTCAATTATATTAAAATCAGTTTTCTGAGACTGTAGGTTAAGAACTTGTTCATATAGTTTGTGGATGGGGGAATCCCCCCCCCGCTTGTTTATCCAGCTTTGGAAGCCTAAGCGCCATATTTCCACACAGGCAAACTTTTTTAAAAAGCAAAGAAAAGAAAGTAATATTGATTCATAGATTAAATTATAATGCCTGAGCACTTAAATCTGGTCATTGGAGCTGTAAATGTTCATTGCTTTATTGTATAAAAAACAGGTCCTTTGCCTCCTGGCAAATTGAGGTGACTTCTAACTCTTACAATGTAACTGAAACCTGTAAATTAGGGTTAGATTATAGTAAAATAATTTAATGTATGTCTTAAGGCCTATGAACTTATTTAATTGAGCTATAAGATAATGTTTTCATTTTGGTCCACATATAAATGGATGTTTTCTGGATTATTTTTCTCTTTGAGAAAAGATTCTATACTTGTAATTATCACAGTCTGTTATTCTGGACCATCTGAAAGGAATTTGTACCTTTATATCTGAAAGGAATTTATATCTCCAGGTAAAAAGAGGTGGTCTTATTTTGTTAACTCATCTAATTTTTAAAAATTGAGTAATGTAGAATTGGCAACCTTGACTTTATTATATTATTATATAATTATATAATATTATATATTATTATTACATTATTATAACTAAATTATTATTTGTATTCTATTTTTACTGGGGGAAGTTGATTTTTTTTTATATATTAGAGTATCATAAGAGTAATATTCCATGACAGAAGATTACAATACACTGAACATCAGCAACTAGAAGGCTGGAAGTGGAATCGCCCTGGAGATCGATTACTTGATTTAGGTAAAATCATGACTTAAATTAATATCTTCATAAAAATAAACTGAGAACTGAGTTACTGTGAAATAGTAATATTTAAACACCCGGTTTTAATAATATATTGTACTCTTAATTCTGTAAATTATAGTTTCATTTTGTGAGTTATTTAAAATCTGTTACAAAAATTAATAGACTCACTGGAAGACCTAAGAATACAACTAAAAAAAAGATTTATGTATTTAAATAACATTTCTTATTTTTATTGTTTTAAAACATTGTTTGATTTTTCAATATTTTTCAATATTTTTTTTATAGATATTCCTATGTCTGTTGGAATAATTGATATAAAAACAAATCAAAGCCAACTCAATGCAGTTGAGTTTTTATGGGATCCTGGAAAACGCACATCTGCCTTTATTCAGGTTTGAAATTATTTAAATTGTCAGGTTCACAGAAGGGTAATTCTTTTAAAATAGTGGCTAACCTTTTTGCATTGAGATCTAGGGCTCTTTTTTTTCTTTTCTTTTCTTTTTTATTTCTGATGGCCATAGTAGATATGAAAAATAAAGCAATATTATCAGTATCATTAGAGCTAAAATATTTGTCCTGATTTTTTTGAAGTGGGGGTGTTGATTTGAAGTGATTTAAATGTCAACAGGCATGTGCTTAACATCTTCCACACATAGTAAAAAATCTACCTTTATTATGATGTGCTTTTTTACTCTTTTATACATACCTTGTACTTCCCATTAGTCCAACATGTTTAAGTTTCCTTACCCCAGTAGAATTCTAGACATCTTAAATCTAGTAAAAATAATAATAATAATAATGCTTGTCCTTGTCATTTGGCATTCAAAAGTTTAATGCTTCTGAATCTTGAGTTCCATTTTTTAGCCTGGGTAATATCTACAATAGCTTTATTTTTGATCTAATAATGTATATCATTTTTTTAAAAAAAAATACTAATTGCTTGGAATATATGATACAATGATTTATCTCCCTGTGGCAACACTTTCTAATTTAATACAAAAATGTACTGTATATACTGTAAATCTAAAATGTATGTTAAACACAAAGAAACAGAACATATCTTCGCATGTTACTTTGCTTTCATTATTATTATTTTTAGGTACACTGTATTAGCACAGAATTTACACCTCGGAAACATGGAGGTGAGAAAGGAGTTCCATTTAGAATACAGGTTGACACTTTTAAAGAAGCAGAAAATGGAGAGTACAGTGATCATCTGCATTCAGCCAGCTGTCAAATCAAAGTGTTTAAAGTAAGAAAGTTAAATATATTTTTTGGAGTGACATAAAAAATGGCAATATGGAATTTATTTTTGTACTGATTCCTTCCTTCCTTCCTTCCTTCCTTCCTTCCTTCCTTCCTTCCTTCCTTCCTTCCTTCCTTCCTTTTTTGTTTTTAGCCAAAAGGGGCAGACAGAAAACAAAAAACAGATAGAGAAAAGATGGAGAAGCGAACTGCCCATGAAAAGGAAAAATACCAGCCTTCATATGATACTACAGTTCTCAGTGAGGTAAAAATAATGAAATGCTTTATTTGTTAAGAGCAATGATGCAAAGTATACCTGGCCTACTTTAAGCAGTAAGTTAGGTTTCAAAGGGTGGGGCTTAAGCAAAATATATGTAAAGGCAAAGTTTATCTGGCAATTGTAGATCACAATGAAACAGAAGACCTATAAGATTTAGGATCAAGAAAATAGGTACTCTGTTAAAGCATTTAGTTTTACTCATGGCTATCTCATGTACATATCTTAAAACCCAGTGCTAAAAATATTATATTAGGATTTGTTTTTTCCTTGTCAGTTTGGAACTACAATTGTATTTAAAAGTTAATGGATTCATGGGCAGAGCCTCACTGGGCTTTTGTATTTCTTTTTATTTAAACACCAGTGAGTTTTCTATAACTTTCTAAAGATTGCATATGTTTTTAAAAGGCTTTAAAAAATTTTCCTCACTGTATAATGAAAAGAAATTGATCCACATCTTTGGTGTTTGTCCAGATGAGGCTTGAGCCTATAATTGAAGATGCAGTTGAACATGAGCAGAAAAAGTCCAGCAAGCGGACTTTGCCAGCAGACTACGGTGATTTTCTGGCAAAGCGAGGCAGTGTAAGGGACTTCTGCTTACTTTTCATTGTGCAAGCTATCTTGTGCAGTGTTAGATATAGGACCAATTTCTATCATCCATGATTGAAAACAAAATATTTTTCCTGGGCTGGCTTAATTATATTCACTTTTGCTTACTGCAAATTATTTCATACTTGTTTCTTAGTGAGAAATGCTTCCTAAATCTAACACCTAAGTAAAATGTTAGCAGGCCTGTAGCACTTATAAAAATCAAGAGCTGTAGTTTACACATAAAATGGCTGTGTTGAATAATAAACGGTGTTCTTGAAAGCCAATTTCTCATACGTAATTAATGAAATCAGATATAGCATTAATTAATTAGTTGAGATGTATATTTCCTTATTTTGGCTTGCATGTTTTTTCAAACTGTTTCATCAAAATGGTTGCAGATCCTCTTGCCTTTTTGATTATACGCTTTCCATTTCTTGATTTTTTAATGTAAGAACTATAAAAATTCTTATACTTTGGTTGTATGTATGTTATATGTGCAAATCTGTACATTTTTTCACATTATTGAACAGGGCTAATATAATCCTCTTACAATAAAGGGGATTGTCTAAGAGTTAGAATGGAGGCTGTTTTTAAGAATCAGTCTGCCTGAATAACAGGTCTTTTTATTGTGCTTGCACAATAAGAATAGAACTAAATATAAGTATATACAAATCCTCCTTACTGGTCCCATACATATGTTCCTGTAGCATGTCAATCCTGTGCATCCTTAAAGAGGCTAATGCTAGAGTACTGCTGTTTTCTTTTTATGATACCAACTGCAATTCCTCGTCAATATTGTGTTACAGTAAAAACAATTCCAGAATCTTACCTTTTAAAAACAAATATTTTTTAATCGCACTATTACTTGAAGGAGATCAAGGTGACTATTTTCACCCACTGAATCTTGATAAATAAGTTTTGTTCCGTAGTTTAAATTGAAATTTGATGAGTATGGTTTTTCAGTGACCTTAATGATTGATAAATTGAATTCTGAGTTCAACATGTAATACTTTTGTTCGATGGGGGACTCTGCCAAAGTATTCTCTCCATTCAGTAGATTATATGTTTTATGATCAAGAGCAATTTTCTTAATCGGATATAGCCAAGAATTCCTAACTACTGTTTATGAGGAAATCAGTAAATTCTCTCCCATATATTCCAGAGAATAGTCAGATTTTACAAAGAGCATGATTTTAGTTTAACTACCTTGCTCATTTGACATAAAGTAATTTGATTGATGATTTTAGTAGAAAGATGTGGCCAGCGATTGATGTATCCTTGAGATGGTCTTTACTGCTTCTGCCTTATCAATATGCCAAGTAGAGCAACTGCTAGCTTTTGGGATGGTAAAAGCAAAATCCATGTACAGACAACAGAACTAAATACAAAAGAGAAGTTCTTTTTCATAGGTCAGCTTTTGAATCTTGCAAACTTTGTATTTATAAAGAAATTAAAATTTCCAATGTTCTTAACGTATTTCTTCTTTTCCTATAGCTTTAGCATGGATGCTTTCTGAGATGAGGATTGTTGTAGTCAGATAATTATATACTGCTTCATTAAGTACAAGGAATTGCAAATCTGCTTTGCCTAAGATAGCCAACAATAAAAGCCCACCTGGGAAGTAATGAGCAATTTGCAAAGCTTTGCCTAGTCAAATGTGTTCTCTCAAGTGTAGCTGTTCAACAAGGTAGGGAAAGCATGCACAGCATGGCTTCTGGAATTCTTTCCAATCCTTTAATAATAGCAACACTGCGACCACATGTGACCAGGGAGGAAGAGGGAGGAGATTTAGAATCAAGAAGTTAGCAATATTTTAAACCATACCATCTGCCTCTTCCACGGTGATATATGGGAAATTTCTTCCAGGATTTCTTTTTCTGCAACTTCTCATCGTCCAACCGGTTTTTGAATTCATTTTTATTTTACCAGCTTCTGTCCCCACACTGGATTCGGTTCTGCTCTGTTCAGCATTTGGAGAGTTGTCACAATCAGATCCCCATTCATATTATTTCTTTCCAATACTCTGACGAGTTGGAAAGAATAAAAGGCTTAAATGCTATTAATGCATTTAAATATTTTATTAACTTTAGTTTTTAAATGTATAGTGTTAAAGATAAGGTTATTTGATAATATTGATTTAATCTTGAGAAAAATAAATTTTAACTAAAAATTGAGGGTTTTTCCTCCAATGCATAGTATTGAGAAATTTATTTAATGGCAACCCTATTGTTAATATCTACTTACTTGCAATAATCTACATAGTATATACTATAAATTAAAATGTTATACATTGAATTTACTGCAATTGCTCTTTAACAGTATAATAAATATAAAATATAAACTCTACATTTCAAAATGGATTTAATAATACTTTTCATAACTCTCAGTTCTAATTTTATATTAAACCAAGAAAACTTTAAGAAGCATATCAAAAAATGAACAACCAGTGCCTTTGTAAGAAGTAATGTAAATGCCTACAAATAAGTTGTATTATAACTGAAATATATATTTATGTTGTCTGAAATACATAACTCCTTCTTGCTCATCAGCAATGAACAAAAAACTGTCAATACTCTAATGCTTTGCTATCAGTAATGTATTTGTTTTATTTAGTCACCATTTTTCATTGCTGAGGAGCAAGAAGGTTTTATGTATAGAGATACGACAAGAAAGTGTATTGTTTATTTAGTAGTAGCAGGAGGATACAGTCCACTAGTCTTTCAAAAAAATTTGCTGAAAATGATGTTGCTCTTTCTTTAATTCAGCAAAAGGAAACGAGTGCACTCCAGATGTATAAACTCCAATTCCCTTTGTTAATGGTTTATGAGATTTGGAATCTAAAAAAGGTCTAAATCAATTAATGTCTCCTGAGAAAATATGTGAGAAGAATAGTAATAACTGGCAGCAGTTGCAATGTAATCTGTTCCTAATATAACATTGCACTGATATTAGTTACATGTTTTGCATGATTCTCTACACATCTGCATCATATCCACCATTAACATGTAATCCACCACTTTGTAAAGTGGTGCATAATCTCCATTTTTCCCATCTCAGGCAAAAACTGCTTACCATCAAGTCATAGGTTGCAGCAATTTGCTCTGAGGTGCAAACATAGCACTTGCCAGCAACTTCTTAAACATGTGTTTTTTCCCAAAATTCTACTGGAACTGTGTTTGGCAGCTTCAGGATTCTGGAGAGGCAGTTGCTCTAAGGAGTTACAGACAACTGCTCCCTATTAATCTGAAGCTCTGTGTGGTTAGATGAATTTCAAAGATTCACATTGTTACAGCCTCATATTATTTCCTTCTCATTGAAGATTATAAGAATTTTATAATAAATAATGTACATATACTTAGTTTTTTGGTCCTTTTCTAAAGAGTCCCATTTGCATTTAAAATAATCAGTAATTTACTCTAACCAAGTCTCCAATTACATTTTAATCATATAGGGTTAAAAGATTATTTGTTGTAAAACTACCATTGTGTTTTCTCATTACTTTTTCCATAGATACTTCACTAATTCAGAGTACTTTTAGCATTTAAATATAGAGCTTTGACCATTTTTTTTGCCAAATTGAATTTTTTTTGGTAGCTAAATATCATGAGAGAACAAGTCTGTTATAACCTAAAGAATAAAGACATTACTAACCAAAGATCTTTTAAATGCATGCACAAAAAATAAGAATATTATTTAATAAAATGAGGATTGAAGCTTGTAAAAGTTAATACAAGAACTAAATTCCTGAATGCAATCCTAATGGTAATGATTAAAGTGTTGTTTAATATTTTTCTTTATTCTAGTGTTCACCATGGCCTGATGCGCCTGCATTTGTGAATACCCCTACCCCAAAACCAGCTTTTACTTCTTCTCCACACACTACTTACAGTATCCCAGACAGGTATATTTAACTTCTAAACTGATATGCCATATTAAATCAAGATTGAAGTTCAAGATAATATTAAATGTTATGGCAAAAATAAAATTACCAGTCAGAAATTTGTACACAATTAATGTGATAGCATTCTTTGATTTAAATGTACTCCTGTACATCATTATATGATATGGTGCATCATCGAAATAAAGAGGAAATGGGAAGGGAGTTCCTGGCTAATTAAGCTCTTGAGGAAAAAGATTTCTTGCTACATTATGAAAATAAAGATTAAAGCAGTCTTATTGATGATGTGTTGATAGGACTTGGAGGCAAATAGTATGCCCTATCTGATTCTGTTAGATTAGAAGCTCATGGAATTGGTTTTTTTATTTTTTAGACAAACACACATACAAACATACAATGTATTTTCTTTGAACAGAGTATTTGGCCAGTTCACGAATTTAGACAATATTTAATAATTTCAATTAAATTTACAATTTCTATATTTCCTTTTTGCCATATTTATTCCTCATCTATTTTTTAAAAAATCAATATTACCCTTCATTCTCATCTCAAATCTTAATCAAATTCAATTTTTCCCTCCTATTCTATATTATACTTCTTCCCATTGTCATCCAACATTTTAGTATAAATCAGTTAGTTATATAACTCTTTTTTTGTATATTAATATGAACATAAATAATCCAATTATTTCCATGCAATCCAATTTCTTACAAATCAATTAATTATATTTACCAATAATAATAAACCAAATAATTTTCCCTATATGTTCCTCCAAACCACAACTTAATCATTTCTCCTTTCCACACAATCTACAGTTAAAGTATTTCAATTATTACAGTTTCCCTAATTAGATAGTTTTCCCCTTATGTTACTCATTTTCACATTTTAAGTTCTCCTAATAAACCAAATCGTTTTGCCCATATAGTCCTCCAAATCACAACTTAATCATTTTGCTTTCATCACAATATACAATTACAAATATTTCAATCGTTACAATTTCCCTAATTAAATTTAAAAATATTCTAACTGTTATCCAGGCTACAATTTAATCCTTTCTACTTTCACCACCATATACCATTAAAGGTGTCAGTTGTTACAATTTATAATTATTCGTATTTCTAAAAAAGAAAATAATAAAAAAAACTTATCTAGATTTCAAAGATACAAAAAAAAATATTCCAATATTCAAAAATGAAATATTCATTTCATTTTTACAATTATATAATTTCCCATTTATTTCTTACTACAGTTCATATTTCAATTCTATTTTTATATAGCATCTTTCTCTTTCATTTCTTTTTCTCCCTTCCCATTTTTATTTTTGCCTTTTTCTTTCTCCTTTTTTCTTTTGTATTTTAAAATCTTGAACTCTCCTCTTTTGCCCTAAATTTCCCATTGTTTCCCATCTCTTCCCACTATTTATCCCAGTTTATCCCAGTGTAATCATTCTGTGTTTCACAGATCTGAACTCTTCTATTTTGCCCTGCCTTTCCTGTTATTTTCCATCCTTTTCCTCTCTTTTTTCTTTTCACTGTTAATCCCAGTGTAATCATTTAAGTTTTTTGTATTCTTTCTATTCCACCCTTCTTTCCTTCTTTGTCTCTTTCTGCCCTTCCCATTTTTTCCATTGTTAATCCCAATGTTATCTCTAAAAACCTCATTTTTATTATTACTATTTACATATTCAATTAATTTTCCATAATTAATCTCATTGTCTTTATCGTCTTCTTTATTTTCAATCTCTGCTTCTCCATTTTTGTTTCCATATTATCTTTGAAAATATCTTCTGATAGAATCTGCCCACCCTACCCAGATACCTTTCTTAAGATGGTGATGGCATTCCGATAAGAAAATCACCCTATTAGTAACTCTAGATGTTATAGGTAGCCCTTGACGTTGTTGTTGTTGTTGTTGTTGTTTTTGTTTTATTTCCAAAGTTAAAATACAAACAAAAGGGAACAAGAACAAAACTAAACAAGACAAAAATGTGCATATTAGCAAAAGAACAAACACACATATAGATGTGTGGTGTGGTAACCTAGAGGCCTTACAATCAGGAAACTTGAATTGGATCCTAGATAGCGGCAGGCACAAAGAAACTGTCTGCTGTGATCTCTTTGTAGGCCTCAGGAAAGGCATCTGGCCAGTAAATGCTCAGCTCCATTCAGTTACCCCAACTCCGTCCCAATGCAAGGGATTGCCAGGTTATTAAAAATACAGAGATTGTCCTCCCAGTTGAATACAGATAAGTATATTTGAACAGTAATAGTTTCCGCTCAGTTGTAAAACAGCTCCACAATTTATGAACTTCTACAGCTCTGTTCAACCAATTTGACTTACCATCTATCTACTATAAAAAAGAACAGTTAATAGAAGTTTTTGCTGAACAGAAGTTTATCAAAGCTAAACTTCAAAGCCCTCTGTAAACACACTATTACTATATTTAACCTGCAGAAAGTCCACAACTTCTGATCTACCATAAACCAATTAAAAATCAAATATCCTGATTCTGAATAATAAAATCTTTCCTTAAAATTATTGCTGTTGTAAATATCTCTTCAGCACTTTTGTTCAGGTTTTCCTGTGAATCGAAACAATCTCTTGACAATTGTCTTCTAATTTCATAAAATAAGTCTGTATCCATCAGGTTTTTTTTAAAAAAGGTCCAGATCATCACTCAATTTATCTTTAAGTTTTTTGAATTCTTGCCTCTTTCAGCCTCCTCCAACAAGCCTCTTATTCTCAAACAAAGCTCTTTCTCCAAACCACTCAATTGCAAGTCTGATTTAGCTGCTGTTACCTGCATTGTCATTGTTGGGTGTCATCCTTGGGTTGATTTAAAACTACTATAATTCATTAAATCTTTTATCTGACTTTTCCTTTAGTGCTTGTAAATTGAAAAGCATTTTTTTCAAAGGTAGTCTTCAACATATTACCAGAATTTGGACCAGAATTTCTGTTGCTCTGTGATATGATAGTTAAGTTATCACGTGATAAACCCAATTTATGACCTTTTTACTGTGGTTTTAAAGTGAATCACATGATCATTAAGTGGATCTAGCTTTCCCAATTGACTTTGCTTGTCAGAAGCTGGCTGAAAAGGTAACATATCATGATCATGTGATCCAAAAGGCTGCAACTATTGTGAATGTAAGTGAATTGCCAAACATCCAAATTACAATTATGTTATCCCAGGAGTAGTATGATGATCTTAACTTTGAAGATGGGTTGTAAGTCACTTTTTCAGAGTCTATCGTAACTTTGATCCCTTGTTAAATGAATGGCCATAAATGAAGAACTAGCTACATTGTGATTTTTATTAATAGTGCTTAATGCTTTTCCCATTTTTTATTTATACAAATTTTTGGATTCTTATTAAGTTTATTTGCCACCTATTTTGCTTTGGGGCTACTCTAAGCAGCTTACAATAATAAAAAGGAAGAGATGAAAAGAGTGTAAACCAAACAAATAAAATAATAGAAAAATAAAATGAACAATGAAAAAAAAAAGAATTCTCCACCAAAAAGATGGGCTGATGGAGAGCAAGGGAGGCTTGTAGAGACTGCCATCAGTGCAGCAGCCACCTCCCCCATTTGGTCACCAGGTTAACCAATAGAACCAGGTCTTCAGGTTCTGGCAGAAGGATTTGGGGGGGGGATCTTATCCTATTGGTTAAGATGTTCCAAAGGAAAGGCGCAGCAGCAGAGAAAGCTCTTTTGGATTTTGATAGTTGGAGCTCTTTGACCAACAGAATATTCTGCTGGCACAGATAGGATGAGCTTGCCTTAGTGGGACTGAATATTTCTTCAGGTAAGTTCATCCAGATAAGGTTTTTACCATCAGTACTGTGGGTGGGAGGGGTAGATATGGCGGGAGCAGGGGGCCATATTGTGTTAGGGGAGCGCGCGCCCGCTGTCTTCGAGCGGTGGCGCGCTCCGGCCCCCAAAGCTCCACTCGTTTTCCAGGTGGCGCAGATCCTCAGGGCCCTGGCCTCCGTCTGATGTTATGCAATGCCAGGTCTGTAGTAAATAAAGCCCCCCTCATTTATGATCTTGTTCAGGAGGGGGGAGCGGACCTGGCAGGTATTACGGAAACCTGGTTGGGCCAAGAGGAGGGGGTCCCTCTTGTTGAAATGTGCCCACCAGGTTTCCGCGCATTCCATCAGCCGAGGTTGCAGGGTAGGGGCGGGGGGGTAGCGGTTATTATTAACGAAGGTCTGAGACCGAGGGAGGCCACTGTTCCTCAGACGGCCGGCTGTGAATCCCTCCTTGTGAAATGGGGCCACGGGGTTCAGATGGGTTTGCTGATCACGTACCTGGCTCCCTGCCATGTGGCAGCAGCCCTGCCCAAGCCACTCAGCGTCATCGCCACGGTGGCGGTTGAGACCCCTAGGCTTATGGACATGGGGGATTTCAACTTGCTGTCCGTTGGTGAGGCATCTGAGGTGACTCGGGAGTTCATGGCTTCCATGACAGCCATGGACCTGACCCAGTTAATTCATGGCCCTACCCACACGGGGGGAAACACGCTGGATCTGGTTTTTGTCTCTGGACAGTGGTTGAGTGATCTCGAGATAGGGGATATAGTCACCGAGCCCTTGTCATGGTCTGATCACTCTCTCCTTTGTCTCGACCTTCGAACCACTACACCCCGCCGCAGGGAGGCGGAGCCGGTAAGATGGTTCCGCCCCAGGCGCCTGATGGAACCTGATAGGTTCCAGATGGAGCTTGGGCCATTCCCTGAGGCTCTGGCACACGCCTCGACTGGATAGGGCGCCTGGGAAAGGGCGGCCGCTGGAGCTCTGGATCGGGTCGTGCCTTTGCGGCCTCTGACCCGGCGCCGATCTCATTTAGCTCCTTGGTTCACTGAGGAGCTGAGGGAGTTGAAGCGCCGGAAAAGACGCCTAGAGAGTAGTTGGAGGGCCAGTCTTTCTGAATCTGACCAGACACTGGTAAGAGCTCATATTAGGAATTACCTAGTGGCGATAAAAGCAGCGAAATGTAGCTATTTTGCTGCTCTTATTGCGTCATCAGATAATCGCCCGGCCGCCCTGTTTAGGGTGACCCGCTCCCTGCTCCACCAGGAAGCACGGGAGGACCCCTTGGAGGATAGAGCTGAGGATTTTGTTCAATATCTGTATGACAAAATCGCTCAGATTCGGGAAGATCTGGACTCCGACTGGATAGTCTCAGGGGGAGGGACTGGGGCAGGTCTTGAGAATGTTATCTGGGATGAGTTTGATCCTGTGACCCCTGAGGACGTGGACAGGATTCTGGGTAGACTGAACGCGACCACTTGTTTATTGGACCCGTGTCCCTCCTGGTTAGTGCTGGCTTCTCAGGAGGTGACACGAGGGTGGTTCCAGGGGATTATAAATGCTTCGCTGGGTGAGGGTGTCTTTCCCGCCGCCTTGAAAGAGGCGGTGGTGAGGCCTCTCCTCAAGAAGCCTTCCCTGGACCCGGCAATGTTGGTAAATTATCATCCGGTCTCCAACCTTCGTTTTGTGGCGAAGGTTGTTGAGAGTGTGGTTGCGCAACATTTCCCCCAGCACCTGGATGAAACGACGTATCTGGATCCGTTCCAGTCGGGCTTCAGGCCCAGGTACAGCACGGAAACGGCATTGGTCGCGTTGGTTGATGATCTCTGGAGGGCTCGGGACAGGGGGTGCTCCTCTGTCCTGGTCCTGTTAGATCTCTCAGCGGCTTTTGATACCATCGACAATGGTATCATGCTGCACCGGTTGGAAGAGTTAGGGGTGGGAGGCACTGTGTTGCGGTGGTTCTCCTCCTTTCTCTCTGACCGGTCGCAGTCTGTGTTGACAGGGGGACAGAGGTCGACCCCGAGGCCCCTCATATGTGGGGTGCCGCAAGGGTCGGTCCTCTCGCCTCTCCTGTTCAACATTTATGTGAAGCCGCTGGGCGAGATCATCCGTGGTTTCGGGGTGGAGTACCATCAGTACGCTGATGACACCCAGCTGTACATCTCCACCCCGGATCACCCCAACGATGCCCTTGAAGTGATGTCCCGGTGCCTGGAGGCCGTACGGATCTGGATGGGGAGGAACAGGCTCAGGCTCAACCCATCCAAGACCGAGTGGCTGTGGTTTCCGACGTCCCGATATAGTCAGTTGACGCCATCACTGACTATTGGGGGCGAATCATTGGCCCCCACGGAGAGGGCTCGCAACTTGGGCATCCTCCTGGATTCACAGCTGTCTTTAGAAGAGCATCTGACGGCCGTGACCGGGTGGATTTTTTATCAGGTCCACCTGATTCGCCAGTTGCGTCCCTTTCTGGATCGGGACTCGTTACGCACGGTCACTCATGCCCTCGTCACCTCCCGCCTGGACTATTGTAATGCTCTCTACATGGGGCTCCCCTTGAGGAGCACCCGGAGGCTCCAACTGGCGCAGAGTGCGGCCGCGCGGGTGGTAATGGGAGCGACATGGCGCTCCCATGTAACACCTCTCCTGTGCGAGCTGCACTGGCTCCCGGTGGTCTTCCGGGTGCGCTTCAAGGTTTTGGTTACCACCTTTAAAGCGCTCCATGGCTTAGGGCCTGGTTATTTACGGGACCGCCTACTACCACCAATAGCCTCCCACCGGCCAGTACGCTCTCATAGAGAGGGACTCCTCCGGGTGCCGTCAGCCAAACAGTGTCGACTGGCGGCCCCTAGGGGGAGAGCCTTCTCTGTGGGGGCACCTACCATCTGGAATGAGCTCCCCCCGGAGATACGGAGGATCCCGGATCTGCGCTCCTTCCGCCGTGCTGTGAAGACCTTTTTATTCCATCAGGCGGGCTTGGCCTAATCTCTTCCCTTTTTAAATATGTAAATTTTAATCTGTTTTTAAATTATTGGGGTATTTTAATTTGTCTGGGCCAAATAATTTAATTTGATTTTATCGGGTTTTTAAATTTTGTGTATTTATGTATTTTATTGTTGGCTGTTCACCGCCCTGAGTCCTTCAGGAGTAGGGCGGTATACAAATCAAATAAACTATAAACTATAACTAAACTAGGTAGTCTGGATGTCTGCCATTAAGAGCTTAAAGGTCATAACCCACCCTTTGAACTGCATTCGGAACCAGACTGATAGCCAGTGAAATTTGCAGAGCAGAAGTAGATTTTGGGCCATCCTAAGACCTCCAAAGACTGCTGTTATTGCTACACTTTGCACCAGCTGAAGCTTCAAATGGATTTCAAAGCGCAGAACCTAGCGCAGAACACATTGCAATAGTCCAGAGGATAGATGACTTGGGTTTGGCAACTGAGTGCAGGAAATTGTGATCCAGGAAAGTTTGCAGTAGGTACGCAGACTGGAGCTGTACAAAAGCTTTCCTAATCACCCCCATCATCTAGTCCAGGAGAATCCCTAAATTGCAAACTGGATCTAAATAGAGTATGCAATCCCATCCTAACTAATGATGACAAAAATAAAATCTTGAGGCTCCATGCATCCATAGCAGTCTTCCCAGAATTCAGTTGAAGTCTTTGTCCCCCATCCAGATCCCTACAGCCTCCAAGCACCGTGAGAGGGCAGAGAAAACATCACTCAGGTCACCAGATATAGAGATGTAGAGCTGAGTATCAACAGCATATTGGTGATGTTTCAAGACATGGTGATAAATGATCTCACCCAACGGCTTCATGGAGATGTTAAACAGGAGAGAAGAGAGTATTGAGTCTTGTGGGGGACTGCTAATGAGCAGACTGGAGCTAGATTTCACTACTTACCAACAAAGATTGGGACTGACCTTGGAGAAGGGAGCTGAACCATGCAAAACTCTGCTGCCCAGCCCCCAATTCATGTAGCCAGCCCAAAAGTATATACAATGCTCAATGGGTATCAAAGGCCGCTAAGAGATCAAGGAGAATTGGAAATGTTGCATTACCCCTCTCCCACCAGAGATTGTTCACGAGTGTGACCAAGACTGTCTTTTCAATCAGGCTAAATTCTGACTGAAAGGGGCCCAATAATTCCATTTCATCCAGGACCCCTGAAGCTGCCAATCAACTACCTTTTCTACCATCTTATCCAAATAGGGATGATGGGAGACTGGACGAAAGTTGTCAGGTGGGTTCAAATGATGGTTTTTAAGGAAAGGACAAACTAGTGCCTCCTTAAATCATCTCAGGAATGTCCCCTCATGCAAAGAAGAATTTATCAGTGTATCAACCCACCTACCAGTGACATTTTCTGAAGGCTTTCACCAGCTAGGAGGGACAAAGGTCTAATTGACAGGTGATTGAATTGTCCATTAAATGGAACAGAGTCAAACTATTATTGGATTTTTATTGTAAGCAAGAAAAGTGGCATACAAATAAGTGGAAATAGATTTGCCTAACCAAATTCTATTAACACCAATATTTTTCTATTTTCAGCATGCCAAATGAAATTACCTTACAACCTATCTTAGATTGTTATAAGTTCTGTTTATGACAACCAAATGCTTCCAAAGAGATTATTAGTTTTATGTCGTTACTTTCAAGTAAGAAACTGTTTGCTATGGAAAAACAGCTAATAGGAAAGTAGTTCAGATATACCCTGCCCTGATTCCATAGATTTTTTTTAAAGTTTTGTGATTTTCCTTTGTCACATTTCTGCCTATTTAGTAATTCATCATCTCCAAATCATCAAGGAGAAGGCATTTCCTTAGCAGGTGGTGAGGTAAGTGCCAATTTCTCATCTATCAAGAAATTTGCCATTCTATTTTCAGATTTACTATCTTGAACATATCATAACATTAAAAAGTATACTGCTTTTTCTCCTTTTCTCCAGCAACTTCATCCATCAGGCACAATCCAAGAAACCCAGCAATGGCTGCTTAAACATAGATTTTCCACTTATACAAGGGTGTTTTCTAATTTCTCAGGTAGCTTAATATTTTATAGAGTTTGTTTTGTATTTTAAAAGTAAATAATGTAAGTTTCAATTCATTATATATGTATAATGTATACATATCCAAGGTACTATGTTTCTGATTTAATTGTTATTTCTTTAGCAATCTATAAAAATGACCTTATTGCATCTAAAAGGGAGTGTTTTTCATGTATCTACAGAGTGAATTCAAAGATTTTGCTAAATACTTGCTACCAATATATTCAGTGGAGTGGAAGTTAAAATTATTTTTGGTTCTAATGTATATCATATTTCTTTACCATTTTATTGCCAATCCACTTTGTAAATAACCTCTGCTTGGGTTCTCATCCTAAGGCTGAACAATCTTCAGCCTTGGCCGTGTCAGTCTATATCTGGTTAAGTGTCCTTTCTTTTCTGGACTATCAATGTGCTTGTCAAATAAGAGCTAAGGAGGAACTTCCGGTTTGGTTCCCGTCGTCGCCAGACGGTCGTTTTTTTTTACCGCCAGCCCCGTCGCCTGTTAAGAGCCACTTCGATAATTGAGAAGTGGCTTGGAAAACTCCGAATTCCAGAGGAATCGTGACGAGAGCCGGCGAGACTAGGTAGAGCCCCTGCGAAGCCCCCAGACTGTCTTTTTCTGCTTCTGGGGAGGAAACAGGCGAGGCTCCCTATCCAGCTTGCCGAGGCTCCGGTCCTCGGGGACAACTCTACACTTCATAGAGCCAAACGGCGTGACCAACCTCACCAGCGAAAACAAAGAGAATTTCTAAACAAACAGGGTGAAATCCGGACTTGAACTTCAAAACAGCAAGTATCTGTGTTAGCCCTGTGATTAAACTTTAAAGTGAAAGATTGAAAGTTTTTCTGAAAATGGCGCCCGGCTTCAGCGCTAGGAAAAGCTGAAAGTGAAAGTGGATTTGCATAATTGTTTCAATACGCTACAAAGTAACACTGTCTGCTATAAGCGAAGAGAAAGGAAAACTTTTTTTAAAGTGATCCTGATCTTGATCTAATTTCACCTTGACTAAACCTGGGGAAATTTTTTAGAGGATTTTGTGGAGGAGAAAAGGGAGAAAAGACTTCCTTTTTTGGAAAAGTTAGATCACGTGGCAGAATGGCTTCAAAACAGACCAAGCCAGATGCGAAAGCGGCAGTCCCCCACGCACAAGTCACAACAACAGCCTCCTAGCCAGACACAAAGCCAGAAAAAGGAGACTGATCTTGAAAACTTAAAGGAATTTATTATTCAGGCTTTGATGAGGCAAGAGGAAAATATGGATGAGAAGTTTAAAAAATCTCAACAGGAAATTAAGCAGGAGATCAAAGAAATTAAAGAGGTGGTTCAAGAAAAGTATGACAAGGTGACAAAAAAGTTAATGACAGTTGTGACTGGCCTGTCAGATGCAGTTGTGCAGACTGATAAAAGGGTGGAGGAACTTAGATCAGAAGTAGATGTTAAAATGAAGGAGGCTGACCATAAAATTTTTAATGTTGACAATAAAGTGCAAAGGATTGAAAATGAGGTGACAATGATGCAATTCAGATCTATGGAATTTGCTGTAAGACTGAGAGATATAAAAGAGAATAACAGAGAAGATTTTAGAAGGATTTGTGCTGATGCTTTAGCCGTGATGTTAAAGATTAGTCCTGAAGAAATTTTTTGTAAGATGGATAAAGTTTACAGAGTAAATTCTTGGGTGGCCAAACAAAGACAATTGCCTAGAGATGTGGTGATATATTTTACAGACAGAAGAATAAGAAATGATATTCTGCAAAGGTCCTTTGTCTCTACAGTACAAGTGGAAGGAAGGGAAATTGGAATTTATAAAGAGCTGCCGCTTAAGATGTTAAAAGACAGAAAGGATTTTGGATTTTTAGTGACTGAATTAAAGAAACAACAAATTCCATTTAGGTGGGATGCTCCAACTGGCATAATATTGAGGTTTCAAGGAGAAAGATATCAATTAAATACTGTTGAGAAAGCGGAAGAATTTTATTTCAAAGTTTTTAAAACAGGTTCAATATCCCCACGTACTTCTTCAGTGTTAGAGATAAAGGAGAGTGATAAGGACAAGCAATTTGAACAAGAGACTGAAGAGCAGCGTAAGCAGATGGAGTTGGAGGCAATGGAAATGCAGGGAGCTACAGGGGGATTTCTGGATGAGCCGCTGTTAGATCTCCCTTTAGAAACTAACTGGACCACCTAAAAATACTAGAGAAGTGGCTTTGGAGCTAGCCTTGATGTGTGAAGCTAAAGATCAGCGTATAACTCGAGCACCTTACAAGCAAATTAAAGAAAAACAACAACAGGAAAGGTCTAAACCACAGCAAGACAAGAAGGGAGTTAAGGGCAATGCACAAGAACGTGAAGCCATGGGAGGAGCTAAGCCGAAGACTACCAACTTAGAAGAAAGCCTTCAGCAAATGTTCTTATCGCTTCAAGAGGCTCCAGATGACAATTAAGTTTCTATCTTGGAATGTGAATGGACTAAATTCACCACAGAAAAGGAAGAAATTATTCAATTATTTGAGACAATTTAATAATGATGTTATTTGTTTACAAGAAACCCATATTAGAACACAAGATCAAAAATACCTGATAAACTCCAGATTAGGAGCACAATTTATAGCCTTGAATTCGGAGAAAAAGAATGGTGTAGTGATTTATATAAATAAAAGATTGTTAGCTAAAACTATAGAAGCAGATGACTGTGGGAGGTTTATAACAATTGAACTTTACACAGAAAATGGTCCAATTTTGGTGATTGGAATTTACGCTCCTAATCAACAACAAGAAAATTTTTATAAAACATTGTACTCTACATTGTATTGTAACATTGTATTGTACTCTAAAATATTGCAATGGGATTATAGATCTATTCTAATTATGGGAGATTGGAATGGAATAATTGATCCCAAAAAAGACAAAAAGAGTTTGGCAAAGTCAAGGATTAAATTACCACAGATTTTTTTTGATACGAAAGAAGATTTGGAATTAAAAGATATTTGGAGAGTACATAACCCAAAAGATTCGGATTTTACTTTTTTCTGACAGGCACAAATCCTTCTCTAGGATTGATTTTATTTTACTATCATCTGATTTACTTACAAAAACAAAAAAAACCAAAGATTTTTCCAAGGACTTTAACCGACCATAGCCTGGTATGGATAGAAATTGAAATGGGAAAGACTGAGAGAAAATCATGGAGAGTAAATGAAAACTTGTTTAGATATGAAAAGAATGTAAATGAACTTAAAAAGCAAATGAAAGAATTTTTTGAAATGAATTTAAATAAGGGTACCCCTATTGAAACTGTTTGGGATGCGAGTAAGGCATATATGAGAGGGGTACTGATTTATATGAATTCTAAACATAAACTAAATCGACAAAAGAAAAGACTAGAAATGGAAGCAGAGATAAAGAAAAAAGAACAGTTACTTATAAAAAATCCAACAGATGAAAGAATACGAGGAGCTATAAAACTTATGAAAGATCAATTCCATATGCTTATGGCGGAACAAACAGCAATTAATTTACAATTTACAAAACATAATATATTTTGTAACGCCAACAAACCGGGCAAATGGTTGGCCTACACATTGAGGAAGCAGCAGAGTACACGGGTTATTGACAGCATTGAGAGTGGAGGGAAGGAAGTTTTTCAACAAAAATTATTAAAGAAGCTTTCTTAGATTATTATAGCAAATTATATGCTAAAGATGATATAAAGAATGGACTTATAGATAAACATCTAGAAGAAAAAAGAGTTATGAAAATTTCTAGTGATCAAAAGGAAAGAATAAATCAACCCATAACAGTTGAGGAGATTACTGTCGCTATTAAACAATTGAAAACAGCTAAAGCACCAGGGACGGATGGATTAACTGCGGTGTATTATAAAACTTTACAAGCAGAAATGATTGAACATTTTAAAGATTTACTTTGTAGCATACAACAAGGGGGAAAAATACCCCCTTCATGGAAAGCAGCTTATATTTCATTGATACTGAAAGAGCAAGCAGGTCCCAAAAAACCTGAAAATTTTAGACCAATATCTTTTTTGAATACTGATTACAAAATTTTTGCAAAAGTATTAGCCAACAGGTTAATGCCAGTTATCTAAGAGGTGATTCATCATGATCAAGCAGGATTTATAGAAGGCAGATACATGAAGGATAATGTTAGGCAAATTATAGATTTATTGGAATATCTTGAGAAGAATAAACAGATCTCTGCAGTGCTGGTGTTTTTGGATGCGGAAAAGGCCTTTGATAGAGTGGATTGGAACTTTCTATTAAAGACTTTAAGAAAAATGGACTTTAGGGATCAGTTTATACAGGCAGTTTCAGCAATTTATCAAAAACAAATGGCACAAATTATTATTAATGGAAGTTTGACTACAAATTTTAGTATTGAAAAAGGAACAAGACAAGGTTGTCCGCTATCCCCATTGTTGTTTATTTTAACATTAGAAGTCTTGTTGAATACAATACGGGACTCAAATTCTCTAAATGGTATAGTTATAAGGCAAGAAGATTATAGGACTAGGGCATTTGCAGATGATCTGGTTGTTACCCTAACACAGCCGATGGAATCAATAATCCAGATGAAAGACATTATAGAAGAATATGGTATGGTATCAGGATTTAGACTGAACCAGAAAAAAACTAAGATGATAGTTAAAAACATGACACAAGATCGAAAACAGGAACTTGAAAGTAAGGCAGGCTTCGAAATAGTATCAAAGATTAAATATGTAGGAGTTCAAGTTGCAGATTCAAATATAAAATTGTTCCAAAATAATTATGAGGTGTTGTGGAGAGAGGTACAAAAGGATATGGAAACTTGGAAAAAACTGCAGCTGTCTTTACTTGGAAGAATAGCAGCAGTTAAGATGAACGTTTTACTTAGATTTCTTTTTTTGTTTCAAATGATTCCGGTGCTTAAAAGTGATAAACAACTGACAGAATGGCAAAGAGGAGTGAATAAGTTTGTCTGGAATGAGAAAAAGC